AAACCATCGACGATCTTTGATTTAACAATTTCATATAACAGTACTCATCGAATCTTAGAACGAAGTAGACAAAATATTATACGACAATTATTTCGAAATTTCTAAACATCACGGAGAATGTTCATTTCGCCATAGTTTCTTAACGAGCACGCACGGACGCGAGAAGTTCGCTGCCACGACACGGACGAATTCGAAGCGACTTGAACAAATGTGGAAGCATTTCTAACCGTAGCCAGGGCTCGTGTGCACCCCGACTCCGACGGACGTGCTTTTGATCGAACCTCCTGGCAAACTTGAACCTTCGGGAAGAGAGGCCCTATGAAAAATGACCGCCTCCATCCCGTCGCTGAATCTACGCCCATATTCTCCGCTAACTGGCTCTTATTAATTGAATATTTTCGTTTTGCTGAAGTTCCTAAGTCTTCTCGATTATCATTTAATTTTTTTATCATGAATTTCGTCGCCGATTGAACAAAGATTACAATGTTCTATCAGTAAACATTCGATATGCGAATTATTCGCAAATTAAGATTGAATATCCAGTGTTCCGAGGTTATAATCATTGCAATACGTCGAACAGCTTTATTGCGTTCCGTAGACACATTGCACTGATAAGGATATATCAATTTCACGTTCGTTAACCAAAACAATCTCTATAAACATTTATTGTTATTATAACTCGCGTTAGTCAGCGAAACGTCTATTTTCGGAATCGGTGAAAAAGAATGGACGCTCGTTTTTCCACGCGTCTACGGTCGCCTATTAATAGCGTCGATCTAGCTACGTTTCATAGAGTTTAGCCGACCTTATCTGAACCGTTTAACTTTCCATTAAGCGGATCGAGAAATGACGAAATCGCATTCGGCCATGCGTACAAGGTTGACCCTACGATATCTGTGCAATTCTTGCTCAGCCACCGTGTCAGTTCGATCGTGAAGTTCGCTGATCCAGCGTTGTTTGTTTGTCGGCTCGTGGTTTTTCCATAGTCGAATAAGAGGAGAACGATGTCGCGTTTATCTGTACGTCCGGATAAACTGAATGCTCGAAAGCAAGCTGAAAGACGAGCTCGTTAATCCTTTTACTCTGTTTGTTAAAACTCGAGCTAATTGTGTTTGAGTCGGGCACACACTACCATTCGAAAGTACATATTTGTCGATTTATATATTCCGGGTTTAACGTTTCAACGATGAAACATGTCAAAATGACGATGATTTCTTATTTTTGAATTGAAGAAACTTTCTGTACCCTCGTCAACACCGAAGGTTTCTTTACAAATTTTTTAAAGAAACTATTGCAGAAAATATAATCTCTATTGAATTTACATATAGAGACTCAATCAGCATGCTTCATTCAATCAGAACCTCCATTTTTATTTCGTTTACCAATGGGTTTTGTTGGCATAACTCATTGAAGCAGTATTGTCCGTTGAATTCGAGCTTCATTTACCGCAATCGATCATAGGAGAATAAGAAGGACAGAAGCGTACCGGGTAAAACAATCGTCGTTGAACCGTCGCGAAACCGAAGTTTACAACTATCACGAGCTTTTAACGGGGCAAGCCGCACGGAACGATTTATATTCCCCCATCGCACCACTCTCTCCTCCCCTTAATCAATACTATTCGATCCGGCATGTTTCACCTCGACCATTTGGCCAAAAACTCGTTCGGCGTCTAACTTTACCCGTCTCCATGATCTATTTAAGAAAATAAAATTCATACATTTCAGATCTTACATTTGAAAAAAAAAACAAGTGGTTTGTGTGATCGAGTGGAAGCGAAAGGACTAACCAAATTTCAAACTGGAATTGAATAAAAATCGACGTTTAAGAGCTCCATCGATCTTTCTGAAATGATCGATCGAAATACCAAGTGAACTTAACGAGACGCTTGTTCGAGGATCAGTTCAAGATTCTGGCACAATTTCCGCGGTTCGTTGAAAAATAACGAAAATGCGTTGGTCCGTGCGACACGGTGTTCGCCGCGACAATTAATTTTCAGCCGGTTAAATCGCGTCGAGCCGCTCGAAAGTGCATCAAAAATACGCGACGGATCGTGGGCCACGCATCGTGCCAGGTTGCTCCGTTGTTATTCACCCATACTGTACAATAACCCGGTGTAGACGTGAGTGTGCGGACGTGGTCGCAACGCGCTCGACAGCTCGCGAGCGACGTATTAATAGAAGCGGGCTTCGACGCGCGGCGTCGTTGTTGCCGACTGTCAAGCGATATTCTAACGAGCCGTGACCGTTGAAACGCGACGATTTTTCAACGACGATCCACCGAATAGGATCCACGGGCGAAATCCTGTAACGAGCTGAAGCGGAGCGGACCGGTCGGCTCTCGAATCGAGGCGACGCGACGCGCCGCTCCAAACCAGTCGCCATGTTCCGACGGCCGTCGCAGCGCCATGTTGTTCAGTTCCCGCTATGCGGGCTCTTCTTTTCTCCGAAATGGCGCTGAATATTAGGACCGAAATATAAAATCAGAATTGTGATTGTTATCTAAAAGTGAAGGGAATTTGATTTGTTCTTCCAGATTTCGATTGTAAAAGTTCTTTATGCAACTAATTTTGAAGTGGTGTAACAACTTTCATGTTCTGTTTCGAATTCTTTAAACCCCTTGCCAATTTCAATAAAAATAATGATTTTCTTAGTTTAAAGAATTTATTAATGAAGCTCAGATTTTAGCAGCTTAATTATTATTATAGAGGGTATAGTTATTGCTTGAAGATAATTTGGATTTGCTAAGCTTTTTTCTGTTTTAAATGATCATTGTCACGTTGAATTGTTCTCCCTTTTTTGGAACAAACAAACATTTTTCAATTATAAAATTATAATTCAATTGCATGAATAGAGAGGAGCTTTTAAGCTCGGCTACCATTCATTACTGTCCCGGGTACATTCGATGGGAATTCAATATACGATCGTAAATAATTCCGTGCGTGTTTTATGCGCGTCGAATTGGTTTATTAGCGAACTTAATTTTTGTTGCAAATTTATTCGTTCATTATGTTGTATCCTTTTCGTTATGTTTCACATGAGATTTTAATTTCGAACTCTATGTTATATTCATGATCACTCTTTTTGTCCATTTTATTCAACAAAATTTTGTCTCTTATAATATCGCACGAATAATGGACAATATATGAATTTTAATATAACGTTGTTAATTAGTTAACTGCTGGTTATGTCATCGGCTTTATTGTTTTAGGGTTAATTTAATATTATGTGGGATGTATAAATATTAAAATGGTATTTTTAAACTTTAATTGGAAGCCATTTGCTTTGCACATTCATTTATATGTATCTCATTGGGTAAAATGAAATATTATCGTCTGAAATAAAATATCGACGCGATATAAAAACAACAGGATGGAATATAATGATTTTGAAGCGAAGAAACATTGGCTCGATCTTGGTGCGCCATGTTCCGACGGCCGACGCTTCGCACCATGTCGAAATACTTGACGATGATCGAAGGCATATCAAAAAAACTTTGATAAATATCCTTCAAGAAGAACAGAAAAAGAGAACGCGCTTTTCAAAATCAAAGAAACGTTTTTGAAGAGACTTCAGTGGAAGATATCTACCATCTAATCCATCTTCGTCGACTTCCAAAAAAATAGAAGACACTTGAAAATTCTTGATTAGCTGTCAGCGTTTTGAACTTTACAGTGGAAAATATGAAAAAAGTGTGAAAAATGTTTGTATTACAAGTTATCGTCCAGAAATCAAGAGGAAATGCTGTTAGGAATATCATTGATCACATCAATCTTACACAGAACGATTCGAAGAAAGCTGAAAAATTCCAATATTGGAGAAAATATTTCATGTTTCATGTATAAATTTTTATAAATTATTGAATATTATAACTTTGGCACAGAGAGTACACCTTAAGGTTCACGGTTTCTACGGTGTTACCAAGGTTCTCGGTTACTTTTTGCACGGACCTCGTAGGTTTGCAAAAATGATTCGAAAAGAAAAGACAAAAAAATTAATCGACGAGCGAAAACGCGTTCGAAGGGTCCAACGTAGGACGTATTTACGAAAGCGGCCGTGTACCACGTGTGCCTCGTAAATCATTTGGCTGACTCCTCTAATTATAAGTATGACTATCGCGGCTATCGCATCGTCGCGCGCGTAGAACGCCCGAAGGCAGACTAGCAACCGGTGAACTTGTTCGTGATAAAACCGTCCTCTTTGTGGTGAACGATGGAAGGGAAAAAACGATGGTGTAAAAAGGGCCGACAGATGAATTCCACGTTGCAAGGAATCGGTTCTTCGTTTACCGAGAACAGAGTGAGCTTTTAATTACACCCCATTTTTTCTGTCTATCCTTGCGGCGCCCCTTTGTTGCTGATTTCTTTTTGTCATGAACATATTTTTTATGTTGCTTCGACATGGATTGCAAAGAGATTTGAATATTTAATTTTATGACTTTTATTTGAAGTAGCTTTGGAATTGAAATATTTGATTATTTGGTGAAATAAAAATGAAATTTCAATTGTTTTAACACTTTCAACGCCGATAAAAATAGCGAAAAAAAGATAGCCGATTGTGAGTAAAAGTGACATGGGCGACGAAACGATCCAGAACCAAGCGACGCGTTATCATTTGTGAATTTAAAAATATTTTTCGATAACCGATATCAGTGGTCGCATCGGTGAGGCTGCTGTCCGCTGCGGGCAGATATATCGCGACCTCGAAAATATTACTTCCCGTACATCATGTGTGTACGCGGTAGCAGATATCGTGGCCCATTATCGATATCGCGTCGATACCTACTCCCAAATTCTGATCGTGCCCTACCTTCTAACTTGACCTCATTAAAGCTTTTCATATTTAGAAAGGATTTCCATCGAAGAATCGCTCGAGTATTTTTAACTTCTACCCGCAAGATCTGGATCAGAATTCCATCCAGATAAGCAACTCGTTAAAATAATCCAAGGTACAAGATCAATCGAACATTACACCCGTTATCGTGTCATCTGATTTATTTACCTCGATGATTCCGCGCGGTGTGTATCGGACGTCGTCCAAGTAAAGAAACACCACCAGCCACGAACCCACATAACCATAAATCACTCAGTCACGCACTGTTTCGTGATTTTCAATGACCAAACCGAGGAAAACTCGCGAGATAAGCAGTAAGAAGATTCGATCGCGATCCTCTGGACCGGACGTCCGGTCAGCGAGAAATTTTGAGTAGAACTGAACCAGGTAACCGATTTTCTCTCGACGTCTGTTCGAAACGGAACCCTTGAAGCCGCGGCGGCCTTGAATCTCGCAATTTGCTTATTCAAAACGAATATTGCGGGTTGCACGGCGGCCAAGCCTTTTGGGTTGCCCGGCAGTAAATCAAACGGTGAACAGATCTGTGAACGCTGCGCTCTTCTGCCTCTTGGCGAGCCTGTTCCTGCGGCAAAGGGTGAGAATCACTTCGACAGGTGAAACGGCACTCTAATTTAACGCTAGAATCGGCAAGGAGGTCGAAATCAGATTGCTTTGTAATTTCATCGGCAAACTTTTCTTTTCTATAAATTATTAAGTTCGATATCGAAGTGATCCAACTTGTTAGAGTTAAACTTTTCAATACTCTAAAATAAGAGTATTTTTATACCCAACATGTTGTAAATTCTACGTATTCGCAAGTGCGATCATCTGTCCCCATTCCTTGATCCTTACAAATGACGTTTAAACATGAGACAGTAGACTTTTTTTTTGTAAAGTGTAAAGTCTTGTCAGCTGGCAAATTCGTCTGTTTTCATAATTTATATCGTATTAATCTTCGACTTTCAAGCTAATTATTCTACCTCCCCATGTGTACCACTGTCGTATTTCTACAGAAGATATCATCACAGAAGAATGATAATATTTGAACGAGGTTGGACACTCTTTTTTGTTTCGGGTCTCTTTTTTAGGGGAACTAGAACGTTTTATCGAAAAAGCGGCAGCGGTTTCGTAATACACCGATAAGCTTTCAAACCTTTAGTCCAGCGCCTTTTAGCTCGCTAGGCCAAGTAGATAAATTCACCTTCTTCTTTCGTCGCTCGAAAATGATTTCTCTGATATCTTGGTGTATAACGAACCAAAGATATTTTTTTTGTTAGACTGTCGAAGAAACTTGAAATTTTTTCTTCCTTTTTTTGAGGGGAGAAGATAGTTAGAAAACATATTTTATCGGAACTTCAAACTCGTCATAGTATGTCATTTACACGATATCAAATTAGAATTTAATGACTAAAACCAATAACTAAAGATTATACACATTACAAAGATTAAAATTAAAAACAAAGGCAGGCACTTTGAGAATATAGGATTCTCCAGGATCTTAACACCGTGGTTAAGGGTTAAATACCCTAAGTTTTGCTTCTCACGAAACCCAAACCTTCCAGGAATCACAAGATTACCATGTACGTGGTCCATTGTCAACATTGACCACTCTCAACCCATTTCCTGAAACATTTTCCATTGAAATGCACCGATGACCCTTCTTCCCTTAAGGAATGCCTTCAGGACCTTGGCTCCTGTTTCTCGTCACCTATCGAGGGTATCGGTGTATCGTTTAAATCAGCCTCCAAGACGAATTTCGAAAAGCGCGACCTTGCATCACGCAGTTGCTCCCATTGAAATTTAGTCGAGCAAGCCTTTAACGGGTGCACCGCAGTAAATCAACGCAGATCGGTCAACAGTTTGACGGACGTCAGGGTGGAAACGACAAATAGGTGACCTCGTTGCGCTTTCCGGCCGTTTAAAGTAGGGCCCAGGTACGCGCGTTCGTTTGCATAACTCCGCCAAACTAACCCCTTGTAACGAAGAACCCTTCTCACAGGCCCAACGTTTTGGGACAAGTTTGGGACTGGCTAGGATCAGACGAAGGATGAAAGATTCTCGGCACCCTGGGTGCTCGCTGTAAAACTCGATCGCGCGATTCGCTCTGCTTCAGTTACGATGAATGGCTGACACCCTCGGAAGCCTTTGCGGATTTCTAGGGAACAGAACGAAGGAGGAAGGTTTGCGGATGTGGACGGCAAAGGAATTTCACGTGGAACGCTTTTCATCCCTCGAATGTCAAGAATCTTCTCGTTTACTCCAGGAATTCCCTCGGTACTTTATTTCTGTTTCTGATTTCTTTTTTTTTTGAGTCATGGTTCGTAATTTTTACGAGGTATATTCAAGCTTACTAAAGGATTGAAGAAGTTTCATGCTCGTGAAAATTGAGTTGTTTCGAATGGTGAACGTCAGAATTAATACAGGATGCTCCGTTTTCAAGCGCGTTCGCGTGAAACTAAAACGAACGATTCGAGGAGATAACGAGACCGGCGTACTGGCGATTATAGCATTATAATAAGCACGAAATTACAGCGTCGAGACGCATAATTAATAACTTCCTCGCGATTTTTCACGATACCTTCATGAATCTCACACGTCAGAAAACGAGTTCTCAACGCATCTATAATTCGATCCATCCTGTCTTTAGAAAATTCCTCCCTCTGGTACCTTGTTACATATCGTTACTATCAATTAAGTAGACTTCATAGAACGCTTCTTTTCTTAAAAAAAATTCATAGTTAAAATTTAAAACAAGAAAACTTCTTTTTTTTTTTTAATTTTTCTTTAACAAAATATTAATTGTGAAAAGATTGCGTGTTGCCCAAGACTCGCATAGAAGAAGAGTTACGTGCTGTGGGTAGACAAATGATTTTCGCGCCGTTACCAGCGACGCCTTCAGCTTAATTCGCGAAGACACGCGAAAGCGCGCCAGACGGTGCATAATTCCCGCGAATCTCGCTGAATATATACATTTTTATCGAGGATACCAGCGTGGCGATTCGACTGGAAAACTTTCGCGGCGCCTGACGCCGCGAAAAACCAGCCAGGGGACGAAATTAACGACGCTTCGTTAATTTATACAAAATTAACGACGCTTCGAATCATTACTCAAATTATATAGCATAATACAGAGGTGTTCATTTAAAACAGCTACAATATCCTACAGAAACGGAAAAAATAAACATTAAACCGAGCTGTAGCCTGACCCAGTTGATACGCTCACCTTGTATTATTATAACACTACAGTTTTCTGATCTAGATAGAGAGACACAGTCAGCATCACGACCACGTCAAACGTCTTGACAGACGCAAATCGTAATGGCTGATAAGATGAAGGCGAATAAAACAATTTGTACGAGTTAGCCAGGTGATGAATGAAGGTAAATCGTTCGGGTGGGAAGGTGGGAGGTTTCGCAGCGGACGCAACGCCGCGCCTCTAATAATGATAAATGAATAAGTAGCCAAATCGGTCTTTACAAAGGGCTCATTGATTCGATTTGATTGATGATTCCATAGTCTTTGTGTTTCGTTACTGGATGGAAACCACACGACCCGTTGGTACGCCCCCCTTGTTGTGAAACATTGTTGTCTATTATCGTGTTAGCGTAAAATGATTTATGACGATAGTCTAAAAATTTGGATGGAAAACTAGCTTGGAACAAATAAAATTTGCCAATTAATTTGGCTGAAGGGTTAATGAAGATCGCATGACGGGGCTGATTTAAGGGGTTGAACATAATAATTCCAACGGAATACCTGGACCACTTATAAATGACCGACAAAACGGACAAGGTGGATCGCAGACGAAAGAAAGATATCGAGGGTCGTGGTTTCGAAGACGCGTGAAATTAATCGCTGAAAAAATTACGCAGATTGCAAGGAATTTCGTCGGTGGAACGGATCGCAAAGCAACCTATCCACTTTCGAGAGTCGTGCAATTTTTATAAAAGCGGTACACCTTGTAGAGGGTGAAAGGTACCGGTCGAAAATACTGAAGGATCATTTTTCCACGTTGCCTGGGAACCTTATGACCAAAAGAGAACTGTGAACAAACAGATGACGCTCCTCTTTTGGTAGAAATACTTTCGTACTAAAAAAGTACAACTTTCGAAAGTACAACTTAATAATCAACTTGGAATTTTTTGGTGAAGCCTGCAGTCAATGCAGAGAATAAAGAATCTTCGCAATTTCAAGAGTATCATCAGCGGGGGTAGATTAGAATGATTGTTCGTGAAACAGCCACGGAGAAACTTTTCCTCCGAAGTTCTCACCGAATCCGGAAGTTGCTCCCAATTCATCATTGTTCTTGCCAGTCAACTTTCTTTTCCACCACGGCGTCCCTTCGATTTCTTTCGATACGCTGCATGTCGTCGAGGCATCGTCGTAAATTCGAAAACGCGTGAAACGTTTCTTCGAGGATCTTGGTATACGCCGAATCGACCAGTAAAAAGGGAGAAGATGGTTCCTCTGTAAATCCTGCTTCAACTTTGACGACGAATAACAGCCTCTTCTTCTACAGAGAGAAAGAGTTTTGTGATCTCTATTAAATTAGAAGGGTGCTAGATGTTTCCTTTAATTTTTATTTCGCACTTTTAATCGATTCAAATTAATTTCAATCGTGTTAGACGATTTTCACAGAAATGGATAATTTATGGAAAGAGAGGGTGGTAGAAGGGGGTGAATCGAAGTGAACGGTCTAGCATCCCACATCCGGCGAGCCAGTCGTTCCAACTTTAATCAGAAATTGATACCGGAATGCCTGTCCTGTTTTCATTAACATTCCAGAAATCCTGCAACAAATTAAATTACATCGGCATAGCCGTAGCTAATGAATGTCGGCAGGGGCGGCACCGGAAGAGGAGCGAAGCGGATCCTGAACGACACAGAAGGGAGCACGCTGATAATCGATAGCTCTCGAAAGTTGAGTTTATTCGTTCGTGCGACTCGATTCACCAACGGCCATCTTTGCCATGGAAATGGAGATCTTGCGTGCGATCTTGCTTGTCCTCCACTCTTACAAACTTTTAAAACATTGATTCGAGAAGATAAATTAAATTCAGGGAACCAATTGAACCGTTGTGTTCTTATCGCTGAGATTATCGTCGCGTTAGTAATTTACGAGGAATCTAGCTCTAGAAAACTAGAGCTAGAAAACTAATTTGTTCATTTTTCTAACAATACGCGTATATCGTCCTTAATTCTAACAAAAGTATCAAAAGTGACCCAGATAACGCTTCCACCTCCTCTAAATATCTGAGATGTCGTAAGGAAATAAGCAATCGATTCTGAACCAGTGTCGACTGAAGAATCCTAACAACGATGATCGTTATACAATCGAGTACAAGAGTGGCAACATTTCCGTGGTCCTTTGGAGCGTTCCGCTTGGCAGAAACGAGCTCAGGCCGCGTGTGTTCGTGGATTCTATGTA